AATGAGAATATATGTAAAGCACTTTGCAAACCTTAAAACCACATGAGATTCTAGCTATTTTGTCATCATTCTGTTCTCTTTAACACTGAGCTCATAATTGCCAAATGTTCTCAAGTCTCCTTCTTTATCTCTGTAGCATCTGATGCTCTCTCATGATTCTTCTATAAGTTCATTATCTGGCTCCTTGTTGGTTCTTTATCCAGGTCATGCCCACCAACTGTGGATGACCTCCGTTCCCAGGCTCAATCACTGGTCCTCCTTTTTTTAAATTGGTCTATATGATCACCCTTGGTGACCTATCAACTCTCACATATTTAATTATCTCTATGCAGATGATGCTCCAATACTAGCCTCTCTCATAAGCTACAGACTCTCATCACTAATTGTATCTTGGACATTTAGAACTTGATGTAGGTATCTTAATGTCGACATGGTCAAAAGAGAATATATTAGCCTGCCTCACACCCCCCCCCCAAATACCCCTTCTTCCACACTCCTCTGTTAGTATTAAGGGTGCTGCCGCCGTCCTCTCAATTACAACCTTGGTTTCATCTTTGATTCTTTATAAACTTTCATATATCTCTGCAACACAATATGTTGCCAATTCTCATCATTTCTACCTTCAAAATCTCTCAGACATCTCGTTCTCTCCACTCACAATCATAATCTAGTTCAGGCCTTCATCACCTCTCCTGCACCTCTGCAATATCCTTTTTAATCTGTCCACCTGCCTCAAGTCTCTTCCCACCCCCATCCATCCTCCACTCACCGCCAAGGCGATCCTTCTGAAGCATAGCTATGATCACATTGATTCCCCCTACTCCATGAGCTCCAATGGCTCCCCATTGCTTCCAGGATCCAATAACAAACTCCTCTGGCACCTACAGCCTTTTTCCTATACTCCCCCCCCCCCACATACTCAATGACTCAAACACTGGCCCACTTGTACTCCCACTTTCATCTCTGCCTTTGTACTGGCCTCCACCCCTCCCCCCACCTCACCTCTTGGTTTCCCTGGTTTTTTCCTTCAAGACTCAACTCATATCCCATCTTTTGCAAGAGGTCTTCCCTCATCTCTCCCAAATCCTCCTTAGTCAGACCCCCTCCCATCTACTCTGTATATATGTTATATGGACCTAATTATTGATATTGTTTTAGTCATTAGAATATAAGCTTCCAGAGGACAGGCACTACTTTTTCTTCCTTTGTTTCCTCCCAGAACTCAGCTCACAGAAAGTACTTAATAGATGCTCACTAACTAACTACCCAATAAAAATGAAAGGAAACAATGCCCTGAAGAAGAAAAACCTTATATGTTATCATAGACTGGTGGGGATATGTCTCAGCCACTGTGAGTTCCTAGAGCACAGGGACCATTTCACCCCCCTTTGTTTCCTCGGTACTTATACAGTAAGCACTTACTAAGTACCCAATAAAAATTGAAGGAAATAATGTTCTGAAGAAGAAAAACATTACAAGGAATGTATAAATCACAAGTGAACAGAGAATAAAGTTAAAAAAGAGAGTTTTTTGGCTTGAAACTTCTACAATTAACAAATATAAGCACAAACTTGTAACCAACTTTTGTACTTGTTACAAAATTGTAACCACAAGTATAATAATAAATTATCCTGGTTAAATACTCAACTCTTCCTAGCCTAACTTATTATTTTTATAACTGACATTTACATAGTACTTTTATTGTTAAATGTGTGTGTTACATTTGATCTTCCTAACAATGTTATAAGGTATGTACTACAGGAATTGTTTCCATTCACAGTTGATAAAACTGAGGCTCAGAGATAGGTTAAGGACTTTGCTTATAGTTACAGAGGCAGGATTCTAATCCAAGTCTCCCCAGACTCCAAGTCCTGACCTCTTTCCATTATACCATACCACACAGGTAAGATTATTTTTTCCTACTCTGTTATAAAAATCTTACTTTTAATTTTTTTATACTTTTTTAATATGCCTTGATTTCCAAATGTCTCTCCCCCATTACCAGAGGGCTACTTCTTGTCACAAAGGATAAAAGAGAAAACGAAAAGCATACAATTACAGTTTCCTACCTCTGCAAATAATGCATGGTTTTAATATTTAAGATCTCTTTTTATAGGTCCATAAATGTTGGATTTCACTTTACACAAATTAAGTACATGAAGGTGTCTCTTATTTTTCTAGATTTTCATTACTACATGCCATAAATGGAGACAGTGAGTTCCAGTAACAAGAATACTGGACTGGGCTCTCCAATTTCAAATTCTACCTCTAGATTTACTGCTTGGGCGACCTCAGGCAAGCCCTTCACCTCCTGCAAAACAAGGTATCTGGAATAGAACAGATGGGCTCTGAGGTCCCTTCCAGTTCTAGATCAATGACCCAAGGTGCATATCACCTTACCTTTCAAAAACCAGAATAAAAACTGAACAGTGTGGGAAAGGTAGGGAGCTGTAGGCGTGAAAGCTTGCATACTGTCATACATTGTAAATGAGTTGGCTTTGCTGAACCGTTTTTTTTTTCCCTTTTCTTCTTTGTTTCAAGGGAAGGCTATATTTGGAAATGAACAGAATGTTAAAGACAAAATACAGAGATAGAAAAAAATGAATTAGCGAGAAAAGAAGAGCATTCTCAGACAATCTTCTCTAGTTATTAAGCTCTAGAGCAGAATGTACATTTGGTCAATGAATTTGGACAAGAAAAAAATTACATCTTTAATTTCACTTACCTTTTAACTGAATTTTATCATTTCCTCTGATTATGACTGTAGGCAATAAAACATTCTGAAAAGGGGTCCACAGGCTTTACCTAACTGCCAAAGCGGACCATGACAGAAGAAAGGTTGATTGATCTTGTTTTAGAGCAATATAGTAGATGAAAGCTTGTATTAAGAGGAAATAGGTTCATACTAGAAAGGTGTCAAAAACTCATTTATAAAATACCTGTGGGTTACTCCCTCCAGTTGAAGAAGAGCCCTTAGTAATTTTCCCAACTTCATCATCCCAGTCCCAATCATCATCATCATCATCATCTTCATCATCGTCATAATCATCTTCCTGAATTTCTTCAACAACCTCATTCAAAGTCTGGTGAGAATTTTTAGCTGCATCTTCCTCCTCTTTGCTTGTTTCCATGCTGGCCATACTTCCACTAAAAACAGTAATTTTTCAGGTAGTGTTACATGCAATTTAAGATACAGTGACACAAATGCCACAGGTGTGTGAATCTCAAGTCATTAGGAAATTTAAGGCATTTGTACTTCCATTTAATAAGAGACATTTTTATACAAAGAAATAAAAATTTAACCAAGGTTAATTTTTTTTAAATAACAACTACACCTATCAGATGGGCCAACATGACAAAACAGGAAAACGATAAATGTTGGAGAAGATGTGGGAAAACTGGAACACTAATGCATTGTTAGTGGAGTTGTGAACAACCCAACCATTTTGGAGAGTGATTTGGAACTATGCCCAAAGGGCTATAAAATTATGCATACCCTTTGACCCAGCAATACCACCTTCTAGGTCTGTATCCCACAGAGATCATAAAAACAGGAAAAGGGCCCACATGCACAAAAATATTTATAGCAGCTCTTACTGTGGTGGTAAAGAATTGGAAATTGAGGGGATGCCCATTAAGTGGGAAATGGCTGACCAAGTTGTTGGTAAATGAATGTAATGGAATACTATTGTGCTATAAGAAATGATGAGCAGGCAGATTTCAGAAAAACCTGGCAAGACTTACATGAACTGATGCTGAGTGAAATGAGCAGAACCAGGAGAACATCTTATACAGTAACAGCCACACTGTGCAATGACTGACTTTGATAGACTTGGCTCTTCACAGCATCGCAAGGATCTAAGACAACTCCAAAAGACTCATGATGGAAAATGCTGTCCACATCCAGAGAAAGAACTATGAAGTCTAAATGCAGATGGAACCATACTATTTGCTCTCCTTTTCTTTTGTTGTTTTGTTTTATTGCTTCATTCTCATGGTTCCTCGAATTAGTTCTAATTGCTCTATACATCATGACTAATGTAAAAATATGTTTAATGTGATATAAGTATAAGTACAGCCTATATCAGCCAGAGGGCTCTTGATGAAATATGCTACCCCTACCTCTTGAAAGAGAGGAGATGGACTCAGGGTGCAAAATATACTGGATGTCCCAGAGTCTTCCCACAGTTTTTTTAAAAGCTGTAGAAGAATTTTGGGACACCCTGTATTTTTTGGGACAAGTCAATGCAGGAATTGTTTTGCTTGACTACACAGATTTCTTTAATTTCGTTGTGGGGCGGGGAGGGAGTAAAGGATGGGAGGAAGATAAAAGTAGATTTTTGCTCATCGAACAAACTTAATTAAAATAAAATTAACTCACTGAAACACTTGAAATGATGTGCTTTGATCACAAAGACACTACACTACCTGATCCAAACACTTAAGAGGATCGGTTTGCAGGATCCTGGGCTCTAAAAGAGCCCAAAGAGTGGCTGGGTACCGAGGCTGCATGTAGCTACTTACAGCTACTTACTTCCTAAAGGCGGGGAGGGGGAGAGGGGTGGAGAGAGAGAAAGGGAGAAGGAGCCCGGGAGCGCAGGGGAAGTGAGGACCGCGGCTCGGCCCAAGCCCCACGCACGCCGCAAGGATCCTCTTACCTGTCAGAGGAGTCAGCATCATCGAACTGCCCCGGGACCGCCCGGCTCATGAGCTGCTCCCGGTAGTTCATAGCGGATGTCCTCGCCCACCGGGCCTGGAGGGCGTGGGGATGGAATGGGAGGTTGCAGTTGCTCCGGGCTCCCCGGCTCCGAGGGTCCTCGCGCCACTCCTCGGGTACACCACTGTCCCGCAACACAGAGGAGCCACGTGGTCTCCGATCCACCCGACTCTTCCGCCCAGGCCGCGTCCTCCCCACGTAGAGCAAAACGGCTAGAACTCACGAAGTACGGAGAGCCGAAAGGGACATTTATTGTTTAACAAAGCCTCCAAACAACGCCACCGGTTGGCTAAAGATAATGAAGATAAACAGCAATTCCTTTAACTACGTCTAGCTCTGGGACAACTCCTTGCAAACAGGAACTTAGCAACCTAAGTCACGACTGCCGGAGCAAATAAAGTGTAGAATATCCCTAAAAAGACAAGCCTGGCCGTTTGCTTCGCCCCCTTCCTGTACAGCTGCAACCAATCCACGCCCTGAACTTCGGGAGACACGTGGGGAGAGGGCCGGGGGCTAGAGAGAAAATGCGTAAGGCTCGTTCTCTCCTCTGGGATTGGCTGAACGCGGACAGGTGTCACAACACCGGAATCTTCGTTCTGACAGCTCCCAATTGCCTTCATTTTCCAAAGCTCTATGTGGGGGTAAGAGGTCCCACATCTCTCTTCCCCCACACGGGGGGAAACGAAGCACTAGACCCGGGCCGCAGACCCAGGAACGCTCAATGGAGCCCGAAAGTGAGCACATGAGCATTTTTAAAACCTGTTGGGGGGCTTTGGTGACCAACAAAAGAGAAATGTGAAAGAGCTTTGAAAAATGAAAAACAATACTCATAAAGAAAACGATGAATCTTCTAGTGTTTTCCTGTAAGTGCAGAGCCACCTCATTAACTCTATCTTAAGAAAAGAGCAGGAATGTATTTTGCCTCTCTGGAAAGGGGTGGTATGCTACAGGTGTGGAATGCTGTATATTACAAGTTGTCCTACGTGGTCAATTATGTTGGTGTTTTTTTTTTTTATTAACTACTTTTATCGGGAAGGACCGATTTGGGGGATAGGGGAGAGTTAGGGGAGGAAGGACTACACATTTTTTTTAAAGGGCAGTAATATAACATTTGCATTTTTAAAAGAAGAGCATTGGAGTAAATGAATTCAGGTATATAGCTAGTAAAAAAATAACGGGGGGTGCTATGTTATAGAAGCTCAGAGCATAAAAAGAGAAAACAGAAAATGGGGGAGGGGAAGTAAGTTTAACTCAGGCTCTATAGTTTGTTTTTTTAAGAGTTTTGCTCAGGTTTTGTATGGGGGGGGGTTGCTGCACTATTAAGAGTGGATGAATGCTAAGGGTAAACTAGAAATTTGAGTCCTCAAGCAAAACTGTTAGACTAGAACGCTTTTTAAAAATTCAACAAGCTTTGAATGCCAAACTCACATTTATACAGGTTTATGGGGTGCTGAGTACTTTACATATGTTATCTTACCCTTTACAATCCAGTTTTGGGCTCATCACCCACTCAAAGCTGTTCTCTCCAATGTTAATTCTGATGTTCTCTCATTCTCCATTCTTCTTGACCTGTCAGAGGCATTTGAGTGTGTTGACCCTTTAAATTTCTATATACTTCTCCTCGTAGTTTTCCCATCGTTGCTTCCTCCTGGTTCTCCTACTTGTTACTCATCTGACCTCTTCTCCATTTCCTTTGCTGGATTATCAGATATCCAAATTCTGAAAAGTGGGTATACCCCCAACTGTGGTAATGTTTGTCCTTGGCCTTTTTCTCTTTTCTTGCATGGTGACATCATCTCTCATGGGCTTAATTACTGGAGATCTCATCAATTCCTATGGATTTGATTAAGATTTCTGTGCTGATGATTCTCAGATCTGCCTATCTTGCCCAAATCTCTCTGAGGTTCCCCAGTCTTGCATTTCCAACTGCCTTTCATACATGTAAAACTGGATTCCCGTAGATGTTTTAAACTCATAACAAAACAGAACTCATTTTCTTCCCCCTAAACCCTGCCCTCCTTCTTGGTTGTCTAGTCATGTCTAGCTCTGTGTAACCCCATTTGAGTTTTCTTAGCAAACATACTGGAGTGGTTTGCCATTTCCTTCTCTAGCTCGTTTAAGGTGAGGAAACTGAGGCAAACAGGGTTAAGTGACTTGCCCAGGGTCACATAGCTAGTAAGTGTCTGAGGCTAGATTTGAACTCAGAAAGACTCATCTTCCTGACTCCAGGTCCAGCGCTTTTATCTACTGTGCCACTTAGCTGCCCTCTCTCCCCCTACCTTCCCTATTACTATAGAGGGCAACACCGTCTTCCCAATGCCTCAGGCTCACAACTGTTCACCAGTAGTCACAATTGCAAAAGATTTAAGTCATAACTTATTTTATTACAAGGGAAAGCAGGAACATGCATGCTGGCTCCCTCCTTGTACAGAGTTCGAAGGAGGCCAACAATGTAGGCAAGGCCTTGAGTATTGAAGGGTGATAGCAGAAAGGGGAGGTCTCGTGGGAGGAGAGAAAGGCAATACTCAAGGGAGAGTGGCATGGGAGAGGAAAGAGAGCAGTAAGGAGGCTGTCCCCCATGCTTGGAACACTCTCCCTCCTCTGTTCCAACTCCTGACCTCCCTGACTTCCTTTAAGACCCAACTAAAATCATACCTCTTACGGAAGCCTTCCCCACTCCTCTTAATTCCAATGCCTCCCTCTGTTAATTATTTCCTCCTTATTCCATGTCACATGAAAATAAATGACCAAAGAGCCACAGAGGTTATGCACCAACTGTTAACTCTCAAAATACCAAAGAGCTCATGCAGGTTGCACACCAACTACTGACTCTGAAAAATAAGATAAAACGAAGGAGCTCACAGAGATTATAAGCAAAAAGCCTTTTTTATTCTGTTGGAGGAGGGAAACCACACATGTGTGCCAGGATCTCCTCTAAGACTGAGGAGACCCAAGGCAGCAAGGCTAAGCTTCATACATATAATTGTGGCTAGACAAAGAATCAGGCAGTGAGGTATAACTGAAGCAGTGAGGCAAGTTTGCCTAGTGGCACAAAGTCTATTCATAGTAGGGTTTCATGACCAGAATGTGGTTCATGCAGGTGCTTGTCCAAGCTCAGGGAACACCTGAGGCTGGTTTGAACCAATTCTGTGATTTAGCTGCAGCAGAATTCATCCAGAGGAGATGCTCAAAGGATATTTGTTATGCCCAACTCAGGGTGCAGATTGCTTGCTAGGCCTTAGCTCTGGAAAACAAGGTTTCTCCTAATAGTAAGAAAGGAGAGGAGTAGTCTTGGCTCGGGGGTCCTGACACCTATAGATAGCTTGTTTTGCATAGTTTTTTTTTATGTTGTCTCTCCCATTAGATTGTAAGTCCTTGAGGACAGGGACTTTCTTTTGCCTCTTTTGTAGCCTCAGTACTTAGCAGTATCTGATATATAGCAGGGGCTTAATAAATGTTGATTGATTGATTGACTTTCAACTCTATAGATCAAGCCCCTAGTTTTTCTCCTGAGGTCTAGTTTGTAAATACCACCTGCCTATTGACTATTTCCAAAGGAATGTCCTTTAAGTATCTTCATCATGTCCAAAACAAAATTCATTATCTTTGTCCTTGAACTCATTGGTCCACCAAACTTGGCTGTTACAGTTACTACCATTCTTCTAGTCATACAGATTTATAATGTTCTCATTGTTTCATCCCATGTATCAATCATTTGCCAAGTCTTAACCATTTCTGTCTCCATGACATCTTTTGTATCCATCCCTTTCTTTCTTCTTACACAGAACCACCTTAATTAAGGCTTCCCACCATATGCCTAAACCTTTGGAATGATGTCTTAATTGGTCTCCCTGTCTTGTCTCTCCTTATGCCAATCCATCTTCCATGCAACTTCTGAGCTGATTTTTTTTTTAAAGTAAGGCTCTGAAGATGTTGCTCTCCTCCTTAATAAACTCAAAAAACCCTCTATTTGTTGCCTTTAGAATAAAATATAAAATTACCTGGCTTTTAATACTTTTTACAACAAATCTCCAACATCTTTTTCCAGATTCCTTATATATTATTTCCCTTCCTGCCATCTAAGGTATGGCTAAACTGGCCTTCTGTCTGTTCATCTCACGTGTTACCCTACTTCCTATCTCTGTGCCTTTGCTTTGGCCTTCCACCCGAAAATCACTCCACCCCTATTTTTGTCTTATAGAATCCCTCACTTCCATCTACCACCTACCTTGTATTTAACTAATTTGTGTTTATTTTGTGTTTATTTCATATATGTTCAGTATATACTTATATTTGTACATATTTTCTCCCCTAAGACAATGTAAACTCCTTGAAGGCAGAAGTTGTTTCTTTCTTTTTCTTCTTTTGTCTTTATATCCCCAGTGTCTAACATAATGCCTGGCATGTTGTAGAAGCATAATAAATGTCTGCTGATTGATCTCATTTGCTCAGAATCCTTATGCAAGGTGCTAGGATACGTAAAAAGAGTAAATGAGACAAGCTTCCACCTCATGGAGCCCACCAATGAGTAAACATAAAATTTAAATAAAATATTTAAATAAGATACCTATACAAATAACTAATAGGATGACTAATATGTGAATTAAATGCCTAAGGGAAGTGCCAACCAAGTACTGTGGATACTTAGGGGGTGCAGGGGGAAGTGAGAAAGCAGAGGTGGCATTTCTAGAAGCAGGGAATAGCTTCAGCAAAGATGAGGGCTCCAGGAAGTTAGTGTTAGGGGAGGTAGGAACAGCAGTAACCAAGTTTAGCTGAAGTACAGTGCCCATAAAGTTGTGATAAGACTGGAGATAGAAAACAGTGTCAGGCTGTGGAGGATTTTGCGTGCCAAGAGAGCTAACTATCTTGAAGACACAGGATTGCTTATAAAATACAAGTCACTTAACTTGAAGTTCAAAATGTCAGCCCTGATAACAATGACCAAAGAGCCACAACAGCTCTGCAACTGCTGTTAACTCTAACAACAACAACAAAAAATCAAACCAGAGAGCTCACATAAGTTATCAAAACCACAGTTAACTCTAAAAACAAAATAAAACCAAAGAGCTAACAGTGCTTATAAGCAAAAAGCTTTCATTATTCTGTTGGAGGAAAGAAACTAGATACATGTGCCAGGGCCTCCTCTTGTAGGAGATGGGCGTTAGTGTGGGCAAATCTCAGTCCATACACTACTGGCTATTCGGTGATAGTGAGGAATAACAGCAGTAATGAGACAAGTTTGATTCACAGCAGGACTTTGAGACCAGAACATGAGCATTATAGGCGCTCATCTGAGCGCAGAGACCACTTGGTGCTGACGGGAAACAATTCTGGAATTTTGCTGTGGCTGAGCTCATCTAGAGGGTGAGCGCAGAGGATTTTTGTTATGCCAAGCTCAGGGCACAGCTCGACTGCTGGGCCTTAGCTCTGGAAAACAACGTATCTCCTAATAGTAAAAAGAGAGGGGTGGCCTTGGCATTCAGATTCTGACATTTCCCCCTGTTGGCCAAAGGGAAGGGGTCTGAAAGAATTCCTCCCATTCTGGCTAACAAAGGAAAGGTAGGTATAATCCAAGACGTCACGAGAGGCCAGTTGGGCCAGGACAAGATGTTGAGTTTAGAGACAGCTGTAGGCTTAGGTTGGTAAGCTTAGGGGTTACGGTAGCCAATCCAACAATCTGTCAGCCCTTCCCCTTAGCAATGATGGAATGACATTTTTATCCCAGGAGTTTAGT